CTGTTCTTCACCTGTGCCTTCTGTTGTAAGACGTCTCCGCTATCAAAAAGATAAAGAAATAAATAATCTTAAACGAATAATACTAGACATGAAGCGAAAAAATGAACGTTATAAGAAAAAACTGCAAAGATTAGCATTGAATTATAAAGGACCCTCAGTAGATAACAAAATCAGACCTAAAAATCAAAATACAACACTTGCCCCTAAAATAAAACGCCTAGTGCGAAAGTTAAATAAGATACCAAATCATCATACAAATTCTTTGCCTGAACTACTTAGAAAAGAAGTTGAAATATTTTATGAAGACGATGAAAATAGTAGACTTTGCTCCGGAAAGAAAGAATTTATTACAAGAAACAAGATACGTAAACAAAAGCGATATCTCAATGACAGTCTTCTTAATCTGCATAAAAAGTTCCTGAAAAAGTCAAATTTAATTATTAGCTATTCAGCGTTCTGCAAGTTAAGGCCATTTTGGGTGATTATACCTGATTTTAGATCAAGAGATACCTGTTTATGCAAATTGCATGTTAACATGGATTTAGTCATCCAGGGTCATCCAGAGGAAGATACTGGTTACCAAAACTTCCCAAGATCTTCTCTCTCTGCTATGTTGCGATGTATATAATGAAGATTGTTTACATCGAACATGTTTTGCTTGCAAGGAAAGGACAGTCCCCTATCAGGAATTTGATAATTCCATCGAAATAACATACTGGCAGTGGGAGACTAAACCATACACGATCGAAGCTACGGGAAGAAAAGTAAGATCAACTGAGAAAATTAAAAAAAGAGAGGAACCTAAGATTTGCATTGAAAAATTTGAGTCAACATTGAATGAATATTTCGTGCATTGTGGTAATGTAGTTGCTCAACAAAAGGCTTTCAAATATTTAAAAGAAAATCTTCAAGAGGGTGAGTGTATAATTCATGTTGACTTTAGCGAAAATTATGCAGTTAAGTGCAATGAAGAAATACAGTCCTATCATTTCGGTGGAAGCCGTAAACAATTAACTCTACACACTTCGGTAATATATTTTTTAGACGATGAGAAGATACAGCAAGTACAGTCTTTTTGTACCGTGAGTGAATGCCTTCGTCATGACATTTCTGCAGTGTCGGCTCACATCGTACCAGTCCTCCAATACATATGTGAAAAAAAGAGAGACATTCATACTATACATTTCATTTCCGATTCTCCGTCTAGTCAGTATCGTAATAAAAAAATATTTCACCTAATTGCCTGTTTGCATATCTATCTAAGCTCCATTAAAATCATTACATGGAACTACAGCGAATCTGGTCATGGGAAGGGTGCCCCAGATGGGATTGGCGCTGTTATGAAAAGAACTGCGGATCGCGCTGTTTCCCAAGGGCAGGATATAAAAGATATGAAGGATTTTGTAAATGTAATGGAGCAAAACCTCAAGAAAGTAAAATTGAGAACCGTTTCTGAGTATGACGTATGTGAAAAAGACTTCCTTTTTCCACAAAATGTGAAAGCTTTTCCAGGTTGCCTGAAAATGCACCAAATAGTCTGGAATTTCGAGTCTCCTACAGTTGCCGTTCGAAAACTGAGCTGTATAGATCAAAACTGTCTGCATCAGACTGTCAATTGCAACCACAAAAAGCACCTTGGCTTTTATCATTTGGAAGACGAAATTCAACACAACAATACCGATACGGTTACACCGCTAGCTGATTCAACACGACAACTAAGAGAAATTGGTCAATCCTTTTGGACAAGCAGTAATGAACCAGATACACAAAATATTAATACGCCGAACATAGATCAAAGAATTTTAGATGAAGAACTTGAATTCAATATATCACATAAACGTCAAAGAAATCATAAAGGTGTACGTAAATCATTCGGAATAAAAAATGATATTAATAAAGAATTAATGGAAGATAACGAGCAAAAAGAAGATAGGAAGGATAATGCTGCGGAAAGAACGGAAATGTCTCAGTATTCTGACTTTGATAAAATCTCAGAGATAACTTTTTCAAGAGATGGAAATAAACATTTTAGTGTCGATTTAGAAAATATCAATCCATATGTAATAGACTCCGATGATGAAGAATTTAATATTTTTTAGTAATTAGTTTTCTACGATCTCAACCTTACAGTTCCTATCGTACTGCAAAATTAAGTCTGATTTTGATTAGTAAGTTTTATTTAATTTTAATTAAGAGTTTGTATTCGGTGAAGTTTATTTTTGTTTTAAGCTAAAATTCGTTATTGTTTTGTGTTATTAAAAGGTCTTATGAAGATTAGTTTACTATTTCATGTAAGCATTAAGTTTTAATTATTAAGTAAGTATTTTATTATAGCGTTGAAGCTAGTGTGATTTATCAACGACAATTAAAGGTTTAATGAATGTTTCATTTGAACGAAAGTGTTACTGTTTACATAATTATAATTATTATCTGGTGTCAGCCAAAGAGAGTACTTGTTAATTAGTCATAGGAGTTATTATTTCAATATTTGGTACAATTTTATAATAAAGTTGATTGGAAAAAATAACGGAATTATCATTAATCTGTATACCTCTAATTAATATGGTGCGAAATCACATTCATCTGCCTATGTCATCATTAATCTGGCTCATCAATTAATCAGCACCTTCTAAATTCTAATCTACATGATGCAATTCGATGCCTTCGATATATGATATTGCACATAAAGCACTGGGTCAAACTATAATATCAATTTAGATCTAAGTGCAAAAAAAATTTGAGCCAGATTAATGAGTCAAAAACCCTCTGTTTCAAAGAATCACCCTTAAGTGTCGGTAATACTACACTAAACTTGACACATTTGATAGATGACATGCTTGTTCAAACACTTTTAATAGAAATATCAAAAAAGTACTCGTAAGTCCATTCGCTACATAGACCCGCAGGCTATTTCTAATGCAAATAATTTTATAGTTTAACGTAGTATTCATCTCACAATCTTTATAATTATGATGAAAATATGTTAAGGTTAAAAATTTTATGTCTTTCTACTCATAAGTTCGAAAGTATTTAAACAAAAGAATCAATTATACATCAGACAATTTTTTTTGTATTGCAGTAGAAAACAATTTAATGATCTTCAATCACAGTAACGAAATCTGAAGTGTTAAAGGTATACAGATCATATTTTAATATCAACCCTCTTCGACGCGGCGAATAAGTATCAAACAAAGGTTTCAGAACGGTTTTCCTTTTGTCACCGCTTCAAATTCACCCCTGTCTGCCTCGGGCCGCTTGTATTAACAACGACCTGGGGCTCCATTATGTATCGGTAATGCGCATTGGGTGGATTTATCGAGAAAATAGACTGCGCTATATCACGATTGAACGTGGGCCTACCGATCACCAATCATTTCGGACTAGGATAATCCAAACCACCTTCCTAAAATTAGTAGCCTTCCACAATCCACATATAGGTACACACAACGTTTACCAAATGGCAAACCTCGGTGATTTAGTCAAATTACAGCAATTTTATGACACCAAACACGAGAGAAATTTAAACGAGGTTCATTAATGCAATAAACTATGAATTGGTACATAAAATTTAAATAACTGAATGAACCGCCCCACCATCGGATTACTTTTATAATAACGACAGACTGTACGAGCAATATTTTTGTGTTTATCTCATTTTTATGAGTTTAAGTAGGAAGCATGAGGTGGCGCGAGAGATAGGGATTTAATTGAAGGCGAGGCGTTGGTGTGAGAAGGGTGGATACCCGCAACCGCCCGCCGGGGCGCAAGCACGCCGCGGGGATAGCAAAATAATAAAAAAATGAAGCTTGCAGACCGATCCCCCGCGAGCTCGGATGCTGTGAAAGTGGCACGCCGTGGATAAATGAAGCTTTTTTGTTTGTAGAATACGCCTAAGCTTGGCGTCGCTCCACTTTTGTATTGTCACTTGAATTCTATGGATGTTAGTTCATTCATAGCCGTTTCGAGGGCGTCATTAAATTGGTTTTGCTACTACGTATGTCTTGTTTTGTAGTCAAATTATACTTGCGCTCAAATAAGCCATTATTTTATCATTTGGAAGGTACCAGTGTTAACAACCATTCATAAAAATAGAAACGAAATAAAAGGGATTTTCTATCATATTTATTTACGAGGATCTCGCTCAATGGGGATCGAGGAGAATTAAGTCAACAACGAACTTAACAATGGAGTGAGCTACTTCATTTGGCGAGGGCGTTATGTGAATTGTGACCATAACTGTTGCACTAAAGGTTCAAAATCGATTGCGTACATTGAACAAGAAGGGGCACTGCCCGTCACTTTTGCAATTTAAGTGACAGTTTTATTAATTTCCCACTACTCATCCCTATTTTCCACCCTAGTCAGCCTCTGATAACTTAGCAAAGGCAGCATATGGTACCAGTATTATTTACATCTATACACTACGCGTGACGGATGAAATGAAAATTGTCACACTGTTTTTGTTACCAAAACGGAAAAATAAAACAAAAATACATATAAATAAAATAAACAAGTTACAAAACTTAATTACAACTTCTTTTTCTTAAATGTTTGAGTAAATAAACGACACGTTTTCAAGATTAACGTTGATAAATTGACTTTAATGGAATCTATCGTAATACAGATAGTACCATTCAAATAATGGCGCATGGTCCACCAACAAATGCGTACGTAGCTGTGTCTGAGATAAGCTGCAGCTTAACGCTGGCACAGCAGTCGATGGCTTATCTCGATTTCAATTATTATGCTGGCGCTTTCATTGGTTCGGTGTGGCGATCACGGAGCGGCCGGGAGGGCGCGCGATAGGGATTGGGGCGGTCTCGATTCACGTTATCTGAAATCTCGCCCAAATCGGACTTTGCCATTATACGCTTGATTATGTTCTAAAAATTTAGCACAATCGTCTTCGCAGTAAATTCGGAGTGTAACACCAACTTACGTATTTTAGGCAGACATTACAAACTACAATTTAATAACTCTTACTTATTATTTGTCCCTAGGTATGGAATGGACCTAAATGGCGCAAGAAGAAAAAACGCAACTAGAGAGACAACGAGCACTTTAAAAGCATGGCTGAACGAGCACAAGAAGAACCCATACCCAACGAAGGGAGAGAAGATAATGTTGGCGATCATCACCAAGATGACGCTGACGCAGGTGTCGACGTGGTTCGCGAATGCGCGTCGCCGGCTCAAGAAGGAAAACAAGATGACGTGGGAGCCGAGAAACAGGGTCGACGATGATGACAATAATAATGACGATGATGACCATAAAAGCAACGATGGAAAAGATGGACTAGGTACGTATCTGCATTAAAAACTTGTTATAATGCTTTAAAATGCAATTTATTCAAACAAATTCAACAAAAGGTATGGGTTGAATATTTTCTAGTTTGGTTGTACTAAATATAATTTCTCTTTTAGATGGAAAAGACTCAGGAACTGGCTCTAGTGAAGACGGAGATAGACCTCAACAAAGATTAGATATGCTTGGGCAAAGGACAGAATCAGAATGGTCCGAATCGCGCGCCGATAGTGGTCCCGAATCACCTGAACCTTATGAAAGACCTATTCACCCAGCTTATCAGCATTTACCTTCCCGTGCGCCACCCGGCAGCACTCCAGCCTCAGCAAAGCCCAGAATATGGTCACTAGCGGATATGGCAAGCAAAGAGGGCGAAGCTCCAGCGCCACCATCACCAGCATCCGCGTTTTACCAGTCAGCAGCCGCTGCGGCGGCAGCTCGCCTCGCTCACCCTTACAGCCGGCCTGAATTATACCGAGGCCTGTATCCTCCGACTCACCCGGCGGACGTGGCCCTCCTCGAGTACTCTCGTTCGCTAGCACTTGCTGCACCTGCCCCTGCACCTCCAGCTCCCTCACCGTCCTCATCGTCCACGTCGTCGCTGGCCGAGCCCCCTCCCCCACCTCGGGCCTGACCACAAGCCCCACGCCCGCCGTTGGCGCATCGACAATAATTTCGATCTCCCCCTGAAAGTGCCGCGAGAGGGCACTCAGCCTGTAAATAGCGATAGACTAATATAAATATGTATACATACGTATAAATACGTGATAATAATTATTATGCACCGGTAGAGAAGCTTAGATTTGTGATAGTGGACACATGCGAGCGGTGTGCCACCTGCCACCGCCCGCGCCGTGAGGTTGACAACTCGCAAACGACGTCGACGCAGCGCCCGCGCCGACCGACCGACAATACTAGGTGCTATACAAGTTGGACCTTGCGACATGTTGCTGTAGTTATTATTGGAGGTGGTTAAACGAAGTGATTTCATTCAAAAATAGGTATTAATATGTGTTAAGTTTCTTATACATAGATAAACAACACTGTTTTAGATTATTATTTGTATGTAGTGTAAATTATTATTTCAAATATTCTACTTTATATTTAGTGCCTAATTACGTCCAGTGTTTTCTATTGTTTGATAGTTTCTTAAAATATCTAACATTCGAATTTTAATATTTATTGATACGAGGTCAGTAGTATAACGAGTCGTTAATATAAGATTTTTTTATCTACAATACTTATATCAATAATTTATATCAGATTTGGTGAGGATTTCAGAAAGTCTGTATAGCTTTTTCTAGTCAAGAGACTATGATTGTCTGTGTTAAACATAAATGAAATTACATAACTATGTCTAGTAATCACCTTTAGTTACTAATGAATTCCCCTTTGGTAGGGCTGGCATCAACAACGATTCGTCATCGATTATCTAAATATTCTCATGAAATCACACAGGTTTTACTAGGTTTTGTTACGCCACGGGCCACGCTGTGAGGGGTAGCAGTCCCCGGTATACTCGTAAAATATCCTATTATCTGTGTTATAATTAATAGGTAATAGGCACCTAAAGTTAGAAACTTTAAACCATGTGGGACCAACGAAACGTGAAATGCGGAAGAGAGTCGGGCTTCCTGCGAAATTAAAATAATTAGAGTCCAAATAAAAGTTGCTCGCTGCTATAGTACATAATTGTAGGAAATTTACTGTCACAATTAAAATATCTAGCATTGCTGGTAACTTTTGTTTGCGTATGGCAGAATGTTATAAAAGTTGAACAAACCATGTTTGTGTTACATACGCATAACTAGGTGCCTAATTTCCATTTCATGTTGTGCCAACTTTTTTATATTATTATATTACTTAAATTATCTTAATTAATTTGATCGTTACTTACATTTATGCATTTATATTAATTTCCGTGATGTATTTAATGTAACAAAGAGCCTTAGTTAAAAGTTTAGTTTTTAGAATAGGTTAGCAAGAATTATTCTTTAACTTTTTACTAAATGAAGGTGATTTTTTGTTAGTTTTCGTGTTACTGAGTCGTAGTACTAACGGAACCGTGTCCGCTTACAACTGTAACAGCTTTTAAGTTAAAAAACGCGAGACCATATCATGCTTGTGTATTACATTACAATCTAGATCCTCTTTTACATGTCTCACTAACAAAACTGATATGAAATGAACTGCAAATAATTGTCTTCTACTAGTTATTGTTAATGTAGTTTTATTTTCTTACACTGTTGCAATCTGTCTGCAGCTTTGTGAACTTAGAGATCTGAATAATAAAGTGTAATTTATTTTATTTAATATATAGGTATCTATTAAATATTCTTATGGAAGTGATCGCATGGTCGCGTCGCTTCGTGATCCCGCTAACACCGTTCACACTTTGCCAGGTCCGACATTCGTAGTTTTGTGTTGCCAGCCCTACTCGAAACGGAAATTTATCTCATCTGTAGCATTCACACAACATTTGTCTTCGTAAAAATTGTCATAACTAAATAAAAATGGCCTTGTATAATTGTAAACGTTAAAATAATGTAAATTCGCATCGTTTATTTGTTTCTATACATTGTACCTATAATATTTTTTTTTCAATATTGTAGAGACTGAAAGTCCAAAATTGAGTCTATAGTTTTGTACATACGTCACTGTTGTAAGTATATATTGTAATAATAACGTGAGTATTTAAGAGAGGTAAATGCAATAATTTTTCTGTATTAGAATTCCTTTTGATGTAAATAGGCACGGATGGAAGACGTGAATCTTCAAAGTAGTTATATAAACAACGAAATGTATATTCGATTGTAAACGATATACGAATATCTTAACGACAATGTATATTTTCATTAAACAACATACTTACATTTCCGAATCCACATTTTACTGTATAATAACTGTAGTGTCAGTGCCATTCAGCGAATTGTAGAATCAGAAACTGTTGTAACAATAACATTGAATGGATTTAGTTAAAACAAAATAAGTGTTGATAAAATTATTAAATGTTGTCCCATTTTGTTAGCTTCAAACGTCTTTTAACCGTTTTCCCAGAAAGGTGTGTGAATAGATGCAATAAAATTTAATACAGAAATATTTGATCGTTGTTTCAATCATTTCAATCCTTACCTATATATAATAAACAACCCCAGAACGAAACGAACCCAAAATAAACATTTCACATTAAGAATATTGTGTAGAAACATATAATATATCTCTTAATCTTCTTACTGAAACATAGAACATGCTTGGAGGCTGCGTGATATGACTAACCTATAGACGAGTAGATGTCCAAGTGTAAAGATGTTAAGATCCTGAATAACTGCCCAAAACATTATTTTCTTAAGAAAAAATGTTTCTAACAACTATCAGAAAGGTAAAGTGATGCATGAAGCAAAAACAGTAAACGATTACATTTTTAGATCCTGTGATGTATGCTATAACAAGCGATTCTAATTCCTTTAAGAAATATTTAGGAAATCAGGTGGTAAATGATAAATGAAGATGCAAATAAACCATCAACTACTAAACTGGTAACCAAAGAAATTATAAAAATATTTACACAAATATTCAAATTGCAATTACTCTTAAAGAAGAATATGGGTGAGACGGGACTGTCAGACTCTTACTGACTAACCACCCATTCTTACTCCTGCACTTCGAGCCGGTGCCCCGGTAACCTTTTACGTTCTAGATGGGCGATTCGATATTCAGAAGAGTATCGAATCAGTAAAGAGTATCAGTAAAGACGACATAGAGTAGCAAGAAAATGAATGACAACTGTAATAAACCAATGGGCAACCAACAAAACCCATATATCCCCTAGCGGTCACCGGTGACCGCTCTCCACTAACTATATTATAGACCTTATTTCCTATGTTAGAGACTACTTTTGTATGAACGAATTTAGGGGATTTTCAACAGGAAATCTTACGGCCCAATACTGAAAGGCTACTCAATTTTACGTAGTTCTTAAATATCGTGCCATCCCTGTCATTTTATAAATAATTTGTAGTGACAGAACTATCCTTAAGTGCGTCTTTTAAGTGAGTGGCGATTGAGTATTTGGACATCAGTTTATCAGGCGAAGGTGTTGAAGGTAACATAATATAAATACAATAATGAGATACACATGGGTAATTGTTATATTTACTTTTACTCACCACAGACTACGCAGTGTGGAAATGCACTAAGCATAATCTTCGATTTGCACAGAACTGTTACAAAACAAAAAAAATATTAATACTTGGGTTGTTATTACTGGACTACCTTTCATATGATATAAAGAACTATAGGTAATTTAGGCAAGTAAAACAGACGTATTAATTACAAAGTACTACAGTTACACTACTAAGACATACATCATTGAAGGCATTAACTTTATAATCGATATAATTCTTCACCAGTTTTGTTGTTAACTCCATGCACCCGAAACGCAAGCCTTGGTAGGCTCCCTGCTCGTTTAAGGATCATGAAAATAAGACAGGTACGTAAAACTAAACGATGAAATAGATTAGATAATAGAAGAACCTGAATCCACTGTGTTCACGAAAATACACAAACAGTTATAATATGGGTAATTACATTGCCAAGATTTGATACGTAATTATAACGAAAAGGGCAATCCTAATACTATTTTAATAAGTTCGTACATTTCGTGCTTCGATGTAACATCGCAACGAACATGCCAGTAATGAGGCCCGTGTAATGTCTGGACTGTATGCGACACACAGAGTAACAAGGAATACTGCTGATATTCGAGTGTATGATATCTAATTATGATGACTACCCTTGACCAGTAGTAAATCTACTCAAAGTGTAACGATAAATCAATCAACGATTACCGGGACACTCGTACGTATGGTATCAGTATAGCTCATCGCGCCATCCGCCCAATTAGACATCAAAGCATTTCAACGGTAAACACTTTATTATGAAAGTGCACAAATTTTCATGAACGTAATTGGGCCGAAGTCTAACAAAATACGCATAAATCATCGATGTAGTGTGCTTTGATGTGACCGTGTCCGGAGTGACGTCACACCGCCGTCTGATATGTCGTACATTCATTATTTGCTCACGTATACTAGATGAAAGGCGACCACAATATAAATAAACAAATCGTGGAACAGCCTATGAAGACGTTGAAAGAACTTCTTGACGGAATTATAATAGAATTCATGAGAAATACATGCACTCGAATTGTGTTAATAATTTTCAATTAAAGTGTTAACGATACACTTATCATAAATTGTAATTCATGTTATCAAATGTTTATAATAAAGCGTGAAAAGTTGGTGAAATAAATATGTGATGCCAGCAACGAAGAAGTGTTTAGTTGTTAAGTCTATGATGCCATAGTTCTCAAGTGCGCTGTAAAGAAATTTTACCTCACTGATAAAAATAATTAACCTTTTGACGCTAGTAAGTAGATACCTACCAACTTCGAGGAGTCCAAAATAGTCATTTTTTGAAATACACAAAATTATTTTGTACAAATAGTTGTCAATTAAGGGTGGGTACAAACATTCAATAGTCATGTTTCTTCTTTTATCAACACAAACCTAAAACTCATTCTGCATAAAGAAAGTTACCAAAAGACAAATATCCTTATGCAATATGGTCCAAAAT